TCTTTTCATACTCAAAACCCATCGAACACAATATTTTCTTCGCCTCGTAATAACGACTTGGCATTACATTATCTTCTGGAAGCATTTCGGTCAACAATTCAAGCAAATCGGTAAAACTTTTGTCAGTCCACCCATTCTTTGCCTTCAGATTAAATAATTTTAACACGGCTGACAGACGTGTAAATTTTTTGCATCCCGGGTACAATGGTTTATCCTTGTCATTGCATATAGTATCATACGTATGTGCCCTCTTAAACAAATCTTGTCCAATATCACGCATCATGTCTTCTAGACGATCATCCATTTCTACACTAACATCATCTCTTTGAGACACGTTTGACTTTGTTACTACTTCACCGTGCCATATCCATTTTGTATAACTTTGACAAATCCCTACACAAATTAGATGATCCATGATTTCTTTCTTACTACGTTTTGGTTCTTTATTTTCACAACAAACACATGGACAGAGAAAAAGCGTAGGAAGACTTTTTTCAGCATTACTTTCAGCAAACTGTAGAAATTCCATCACTCTATGTTCGTACTCGTCACTTAATCGATTAGCTCTCATCCAACTATGATCCATAAATATGTTTACACGGAGGAAGGTCTGACGAATGGTGTGCCCGCGGCTGCGCTACTTCACAGAGATTCTGAGATTGCAAGTTGCGCTGCTTCGCGGAGAAATAAAAATAGAATCAAATTTCAATGGCAAGGTGATAACTCTATTAAGTTTGATAGGTTAAAGATAAACAATGTGTTTCTGAGAGGACCTTAAGGCTCCAATGTGATAAGATTTTAAGATTCAGTTGTTAATTTGCTATGGTTGGTTGTTGGTTGGTGTTATTGACACTATATTAATTGCATTTTTAAGAGACATAAAAAAGAACGTGACAATAATGGTGGCTAGCTAGTAGCCACAAATTCTTCAAGCCGTTCCTTATCTATCTCTATCTATACAATATTATATCTACATTATCAACAAAATATATATATATATATATATATATATATATATATATATATATATATATATATATATATATATATATATATATATATATATATATATATATATATATATATATATATATATATATAACCAATTGCGGAAACCTTTTCTGAGATATCTATTCTAACACCTGATGTCAATGAATCATGTATTATATATATTGTTATAGATTATAAATTGTTTTTATAAATAATTTTTAAGAATTTCAAAAAATATTATAAATTGTTTTGATAAAATCAATTTAAATATCACGTGACAAAACTTATCTCGTTAAAAATATTATAAGTTAAAATGAATTCAAACAAAAAATTTATACATAATGTACTGTAGCATTATCTCCTCTAGCATGTTAACCATCCCTTAGAACCAGATATCTCTATTCTCTAGGTATGTTTTCTAATATTTTCGATTATGGTTTCACAATGCATAACACCTTATCTTCTCTTAAAGATATTGTTGCTTTTTTAACTCAACTCTCATGAATCTATCATATCTTGTAATAAAACCTTCTATTATTCTTAAAAAACTTAGAAATTTGGATAAATAAAGTTTCTCAAAGAAAATTTTACAAGTTAAAGCGCTTGAAATGAATTTCTACCTAGTGTTAACATAAGGTATTGACTTAAATCAAGAGAACAAACATTGAATCAATAACACCACCAACACTTTGTTTCACACTCACTATGGCTTTCACATTATGAGTTTTACTTGTTGCCATCAAAATGATAAACATCAATCTTGTACTCCTCCTTAAACTTAGCAACAAAATGATGGAACAAAGCCTCATCAAAATCCCTAACCTAACCTAACCCATAACTAACTAGCAAACTAACCTATATTTTGAATAAGTCACATTATAAATCAAATAAGTGAAGAATGTGACTTACAGTTGAAACGGCGAGCAAGGAAGGGCGTGAATCGGCCGACGAAATATCGTGAACAGCGTACAGTGAGGCGACGAGGATGCGTGAACAGGGGCGGCGAGGAGACGTGGAGATGTGAAACGGCGTGAACAGCGTACAGTGAGGCACGAGGATGCGTGAACAGGGGCGGCGAGGAGACGTGGAGATGTGAAACAACGTGAAGTTGTACAGTGAGGCGACGAGGATGCGTGAATAGGGGCGGCGTCTGCGTCTGCGTCTGCGTATTGTACAGTGGAAATAATGTGCAATTAGGAGCCAAACTGAATAATATATGGAATCTATTACATCGGTGGAATCAATGGACCGATGTAAGGGTTCGGGCCTGTGAACCTTTTACATCGGTGGAAAAAGGCCCGATGCAAGCGTGTGAACCTTTTACATCGGTGGAGACAAGAACCGATACAAGCGTGTTACTATGATGTTTTTTACATCGGTTGGTTTGTGGACCGATGCAAGCGTGTTTTAATTGGTTTTTTACATCGGTTTATAATACTACCCGATGTAATTGTTTTAATATATTTTATATATTCACAATCTGCGTGTGAACCTATTACATCGGTTTTTAGTTAAACCGATGTAATATCTTGCTTGTTTTTTATTTACATTTCTGCCACCTTGTTTCTTATTTACAAAAATGTCACCGTATTTTTTTCTGAAAACCTTTTACATCGGTGGATGAGATTGCCCGATGTAATAGGTAGCGGAAAATATTTTTTTTCTTATTTTTTATATCATTGCAAATAAATATCTGATGTAAAATGTTTTTAATTGTATTTTTTACATCATATATTTTGATACCCGATGTAAAAGCCTTTTCTCAAATGTCTTTTTTTTAGTAGTGTTCAACTGTATTCTTGTATAACGGTCAATAAGAGTGGTAGACAAAATGGTACCATAGTATTGTCCTTGCGTCACAAAATCAGTGTAGTGGAAGAAATATTTGATCTTGTACCATGTACTATTCACTCACGTAAAAACCTTTTTGATCTTATTTTCTAATCTTCAAAGGCTTCATAACGCGTGTTGATGAACATGCTTAGAAGGATCAAAAGTAGACTGAGAGTCTTCAGAAATTTGTCTTTAGAGTCTTCATAACTTGTTCTTTAGAACCTTAGAACTTGAGAGCGCAAAATCTTTAGAGCTCGACAATCTTCAGAAGCTCTTCAATCAGAGTCACAGTCAGAAATTTTTAGATAAACTTTCTTCAGAACCGTTGTTTAGGAGCGTTCCAGAAGCTGACTAAATCTTTGTAAAACACACTTTGTACCACTTCAGAGTCAGAGTGTGTTGAGTTCAAAAACCAATAACTTCACATGTCACTTCTTCAGAGTCAGAACCTGATAGCAAAAGCTACACACTAGATAAAACCATTAGATTACAAAATTATTCTCTAAAAATATATTGTTATCATCAAAACTAAATGTCATAAACAAAACCAAATCTTATTCTTACATTGTGGGAGTTTAAAACCTCCACTAAATGATTGAAACCTCTTACATAAGATACCTATTAGTGACATACCTATTAACGTTGTACACAGGAGACTACACCTAATTTCATACTATTACAAAGTTTAAATTTAAAAAAAAAAAAAAAAAAACCCATTATATAAGTGTTATAAAAGTATTAATTCTTTTAAGTGAGGAGGCCGTTTGTTTGTTTACCATCTATTGGTTTCTTCCGTACCATATGTTATGGTTCCCTCCTATACCAAAATTCTGTCCATATTTTATTGGGACTGAGTCGAATCCGATTCATTACATTTGAGTTGCGATGATTTTAAGACCATAAACTCGTGACCAACGGAGCTGCATTTGAAAAGATAAAAAAAGTTATGCTTTGCTCGAATATCTATACGCAACCTCCATGATTGTTCATGATACACAAGGCCAAAGAATAATAAAAAGATAAACAATATGAAACACAAAAGAAAGAAAGGAAAGAGCGCAGTGGGTAATTATATGTATTTTATAAACAATGAAAAAGCACTTTGATTGAGAAAAAAGTAAAAGAAGCCAAATATTGGTGGGCCTTGTGGAAACGAATTCTATATAATATGATGGAATCTAAAGACCCCTCGTGCAGTGCAAAATAACTTTCAGTGCACGAGTCCTTAGCTGGTTGCAATTGTCCTACTCCATCATTTTTTATTCATATATCACTTTATATAATTTTTTTTATTAAATCAATTTAGTTTAATTGATAGTTACACATGAATATTTGATTGTCTATGTGCAAATGATTTGAAATTGCGACAATTATAAGAAGACGAGGACAAGATGAAAGGGTGTTTTACTTTGGTTGCAAGTAGACATAAAGAAAGTAGAGGTACGAATAATCTAAATGGGCCATGAGAAAAATTGTTCTGCTTCTAATGCAACAAAAAATATCCCTAAGGTGTCACTTATGTCTAAAGTGATGAAAATAAACAGGCACATTGATTGCAAGTGTTTTTAAAGTAACCTTGTGTTGTGTCGTGTCACATCTTCATTCTTATTATGCTTTTACTTTTCATTTAAACTAAAATTCTTTAGTTGTTGTTATCTTATTAATTACTTGCTTCTTCAAGTTCATCTAGGGTTAGTCTTTTAATTTTAAGATGATAGTCTAGAAGTTAGAATTTAATAAAAAAAAATATATATTACTTGTAAGACAAAAATATCATTAGCCAACTTGTTCTATTTTTTAAATCAGAATAAGAAAAAAAAAATACAAGTTCATGTATTATCAATTATTTTTTAGGCCATATCTTTTGATTATATGTAATTATCTGCAAGATGTCGACATATTATTCGTCTGAAACCATACATTAAAAAAAAAAAAAACAGAAATAAGAATCTGATTTGAGTGAAGATTAATAATATCTGGATACATTAAATGATATGGAATATTACATGTCAACTTTTACTATACACAATTATTATGCATGACAGAAGTTTATGATTTCCCTCTAGCTTCCCTAAAATGTGGTGTATTTAATTTAATTTAATTAAATTAAATTAAATTTCCACAGATCTAAGCAATCATAGTTTCTCCACATGTGAGTAAGATTGGAAAAACAGATATCAGCTGGAAGATTCAGTGATGCTTTGTAAAGAGGGTTGCCATGTTCTTGACTTATTATGATTTCCACCATTACTTGTTCCTTTTGTCCTTGACTCATGTTTTTCAAATTTCCTTTCCTGAAATTTTATTCACAAAATTATAATTAATTAATGTGAGACCTATTTAAAGTCGGTACAAAGTTCTGTATAGATTAATTCAACACAAATATTATTATTATTTTGATAGAATTCGAATCTGAAACCTTAAAAAAAAAAAAAAAAACACAATCTCAAAACTCATATGAAAGATTTAACAAATGATAAACTACTTGGAATTGGAAATAGAAAAAGTAAAAAATAAAACCAAAATCTTGGTTAAGATTTACCTTATTGTTTTCAGGTTCAGACGTTTGAGGTTCTTTGTTAATCCTTTCCTTAATCTGATTTGAGTTTTGAGCTGATTCTGATGAGTTTCTCTTCATTTTTGCTTGTTTCTTTGCCCACATACCCTTTGTAACCTCTGAAGCCAAAAACAACATAAGACTCAGATTTCAAACAAAAAAAAAAACAAAGAAGCTAAAGAAAAAGGTGAACCTTGAGTTGAGATGAGTCTATAAACTTGACCAAGCATAAGTGTATCTGTTGGTTTAAGAAGCTTAATACGTGTAATACGAACAGGATTAGTGTTGTTGTTGTTATTGTTGTGGCTCTTATTGGAACAATTTTCTCTATCTTTTGAAGTGCATAAAGTTGTGGAGATAAGAAGAGCAACATAGTGATCAGGGTTTGTTTTCATGACTTCACTAGCAGATACTGGCCAATATAATCTTTTTTCTTCGCCATTTGGTTGTTGTATTACAAGACTTGCTGTATCAATAGCTTGGCAGTTTCCCATCAATTCTCTCTTTCTCTCTCTCTCAAACTAAGATGAGGATGTATAAGAAAGAAGATGCAGTGGAATGTAAAACAAGTACTTTACTAGAATATTTATAGCAGCCACTCACTTCAACACCACAAGTTTACAAAGAGTGAAACAAAGTCATATACTCCCCCCTATATATAAAACATATTCTACATGCTATCTTATGCTATGTACCATATATGATATAATTATTGTACACATGGTGGCCTATAAATACTTGTAAATAAGGTTTTGGTATATGCCTCTAATTATATATATATATATATATATATATATATATATATATATATATATATATATATATATATATATATATATATATATATATATATATATATATATATATATAAATGTATTTTATGAACAACTTAGAAAATATATGTAATGTTAAGAAAAAATATATAAATGATTTTTTTTAATAATGCTTTTAAAAAAATTTGTTTATGAATATCTGTAGAAATCATAATAATTTATATATAATGAGATGAAAGAGAAAATCACTATATGATAAAAATCTTAAAGAGTAAGGAAGAATTGTTCTATAATACAAATTTTAAATACTCTTTCGGTTTTTTTTTAAGTGTCATTTTAGTATAAAGCTCTTCAACTAAGATAGTAGATTATTAGAGTTATTTTTTCTATTATACCCTCATTTATTTTTTCTATCCAAATAAATTCAATGATATACCATCTCTCTTTTTCCAATAACTAATTGAGAAAATAATTAATTTTATGAAAAATATGAAGTGGAGTTATTGAGAATGTAGGGATATAATTGACAAATAATAACATTAAACTATAAAAACGACACTTAAATAAAAACAAAAAAATTATTCTAAAACGACACTTAAAAAGGAACGGAGGGAGTAGTAATGAAAAATAAATTTAGAGATACGAATGAGAATGTATCTCTCGCTTTATCTTACTTGATTATTGAGATGTACTCCCTTCGTTCCTTTTTAAGTGTCGTTTTAGAAGAATTTTTGTGTTTCTATTTAAGTGTCGTTTTTATAGTTTAATGTTATCATTTGTCAATTATATTTCTCCTTTCACAATAACTCCACTTCACATTTTCTATAAAATTAATTATTTTCTCAATTAGTTATTGGAAAAAGAGAGATGATGCATGATTGAATTTATTTAAAAAAAGAAAATAAATGAGAATATAATAGAAAAAATAAATTTAATAATCCACTATTTTGGTTGAAGAGTTTTATATTAAAATGACACTTATAAAAAAATAGAGAGTATATTCAAATCTTCTATCGCTTAATTTATAGTAGTGAAATTTTGATGATTAAATAAAAAAGTTAATATTTAAATGGGATATCTTTTTACACATTATCAACTTAAGTGTTTGAGAATCATTGCTCTTATCATTCTACTTAATTAATCTCTATAGTTGAGAATCCATATTTATTTTTTGAAAAAAAAAAATTTGTATTTGTGGAAAGTAAACATTTTGGAGGACAAAAAGATGGCAGGGTAGTATTGGGTGAGAAAGTGAGTTGCGCCAATTTAGAGCAAGACAGGGATAAAATGAAAAATAAAAAAGTGAAAGTGTGTATGAAACAAGAGTGAACGTGGGAGACAGTGATTGGAGGGATGGCGGAAACAAAGGGGACCTTGGCAGCTGAGTTGATGTAATGTGCATCTATAAGGCGTTACATTATGTGGTGCTGGTGCTGACTAAAGTGAAATGTCACTGTTCAAAAGGTAAATGTAATTCTTCTTCTAGTTACCAAGACTTGGTTTATATTTGAAATTCACATCTTCAAAATAATACGATTATTTTTTAGGAAAATGCTACCTAAGTTTGTCGAGAGAAGATAAAAAATGATTTAGGAAGAGTTTTGGTAAGAACATCAGGTATTTGAGTAGATGATAGAATTAGAAATAATTTGATGAGACATGTTTCTAATTTTTCTCTAATGATGTGATAATCTATCTCGGTGTGTTTGGAGTGCTCGTGAAAAGTGTGATTATGGGCAAAGTATACTACAGACTTGTTTTCGCAGTAGATTAAAGTTGACTTGGAGAATTTAATGTCCATGTTATTAAAAAGATGACGCATCATTAAACTTCATATGTGAGACTTGCAAGGGCTCGATATTCAGCCTCTGAAATGAAGTGAGAAATAATTAATTGCTTCTTGGACTTCCAAGAGACGATTGACTTGCTAGAGAATATGAAAAAATATATGACAAATCTCATAGTGGCAGGGCATGTGGCCCAATCTCTATCTGCAAAGCCAAAAAGAGTTAAGTTAGAATTAAAGAGATATAACAAACCATCGGCAGGACTTGTTTTTAAATATTGCAAAATATGGTTTACAAATAGAAAATGCGTGACTGTAGGTTGGTAAACCATGTGATTGGGTTGTTGCATTGCAAAGGAAATGTCAGGGTGAAATGTGGTTAAGTAGATAAATTTACCAATTAGTTTATAAAATTGTGTAGAATCGTGATAAATAGCAGAGTCAGTTGAGTGAAGTTTAGGAGAAGGATCGTAGGGAGTTAAAGAGGGTTTTGCTACCAACATACATGTGTCACTTAGTAATTCAAAAGTGTAATTTTGTTGGTTTAGTAGAATACCAGATGGGGATCTAGCCACTTCAAGACCAAGAAAGTATTTGAGGCCATAAGTCTTTGATACAAAATTTATTGTGAAGAATGACCTTAACATGCTCAATTTATGTGATGTTATTTTTTGTTCAACTAAGTCATCTACATATATTAGTAAAGCAGTAAATTGGTTATCAAATTTTTTTATAAATACATAATAATAAACATTGTAATGAGTATAACTAAGACAGATTATAAAATCAGATAATTTGGAGTACCATTATCTTCTGGCATGTTTAATGCCATAAAGAGATTTTTTGAGTTTGTAGACTTTGGTGGTGGTGGATAAATGAGAAAGTTTATATCATTTTGGTATGGTCATTTAAAGTTCTTCATTTAAATCCCCATGAAGAAAGACATTATTGATATCAAGTTGATATAAATGCTAATTTTTAATAGAAGTTAGGGCAAGAAGAGTTCTTATAGTGGTTAGTTTAGCTATAGGGGAAAAGGTATCAAAGTAATCACACCCTTAAGCTACGTGTAACCCTTTACAACCAGTCTAGTTTTGTACCTGTAAATACTACCATCATCATGGTACATTATTTTGTAAACCCATTTACATCCTATAGGAGTTTTATGATGCGGAAGGTCAACAATAGTCCAAGTATTAGTAAGCTTAAGAGCTTGTAAGTTTTCATTGCTTGATATCAATAATCATGCTTTCTAGATTAAGAAAACGTAGTTGGTTCAATGGTGGAGGATAGGTTGAGACATAGTTTTTCTTAAGTATGAAAATAGTCATAGAGAAGGACAAAGAAAAAAGGAAATTTAGGTTTTTGAGGAGTAAGTGAAAGAGAAAAGATTCAACTTATAATAGGTTGAAAAGATGGTTGATGAGGTAGGACGGCTTCCTAGTTTGTCTAGTGAATTTTCAAATGGTGGGAAAAGGAAAGATAAAGGTAGGTTAGAATAGGTGGTGTTAGTGGGGGCAGGGGAAAAGGAGAATTAGAAATAGGTGTAGTGGTAGTGGAAAGATATATGGTGGGGAGAGTTATAGGGCCAAGAGATGTGGTCATGGGATTGGCTGAAAGGAAATAAGAATCCCTAAAATACAACATTTATATAGAGAAGAAAGGTGTTAGTGTGAACATCATATAAAAGATAACTCTTTGTTCCTTCCCTATAACCTAAAAATACACAATCCTAGTTCTAGCATCAAATTTAGAGTGACTATTATGAAAAGTAGAGACATATGCAAGACACCCAAAACATTTTAAACAAGTGTAATCAGGAAGATTGTTATGCAATAAAAAGTAAAGTGTGCTAATTATTAATAATAGGAGATTGTAACCAGTTAATGAGATGAACACCACCAGTAATAGAAAGGTTCCAAAAGTTTTTAGGGATGTTTGCTTGAAAGAAAATAAATCTTGAAACATTGAGTATGAAGTTGCATGTCTCTAATACCTTAAGGGTTGTGGCTTTGTTGCTTGTATTTTAAGCTTCTGGTTTTATTTTTATGTTATTGAGTCTCTTCATGAATTACGCATTTTAGGATTGAGTTTTAGATCCATATTTTAGCCTGCATAAATCAAAGTGTTTTATTATAGCTTAAGTAATATGATTGAAAACAATCTCTTGAGTTTCTAAATCAAGAACTATGCTTGAGAACTTTTTAAGCCATGAACATTGTAAAATCCCAAAATATCCTTTGAAATTTAGTAAAACATGGATTCTTCTTGTGTGGCTCGAATCACAAAATTGGTTTGACTCGAACCAGGCTCACAAAGGAAGTTCTTATTCGAATCAAAATAATATGACTGGAATCATATAATTTCCTGATTCAACTCACACTGAAATGGAAATCTTCCTGGTGGCTTCTTGAACTCTGATTTTAATCAGCATATTATCGGACTCGAATCAAGTGACTCGAATCATAGACCTTGTGACTCGAATCACATATATGGGTTTCATATAGTTTTGTTTCTTGATTCAAATCACTTGGTTTTTTTATTCCAATCATAAATCTTGCTTATTACTATAATCATACACCATTTTTATCTTATTTTTGTGCTTGATCTCCAACACATATAAATAGCATTTTCTCTTAAAACCTTCACAATTTAGAAAATATACACTTTCAATATCAATTTGAAAACTCGCAAACCATTCTTCTCTCATATTTTCAAATATAGTTTTGAGTCTTTCTTGAGCACTTGCAAAAGATTTATTTCATCTTCTACCTTATTCTTTCTTCATTATTCTATAGATTTGAATATCATCTTTGGAGATTTGTGATTGTAGAGGAGATTAATTTTGAATTTAAAATTTCTTTAAAGATTTGGTTAAGATTTCATAGGTTCTCAAGGTGTGTTATGTAGTGACTGATTTTGGCAATTCTAGTTG